TCAGATATGTACCTTAGGGGAAGAACTTCTGTAGTGCAAAAAGTAAAAATAATTTTTACTGAACAGTTTTTTTCTTTTTTAGTCTTCCTCCGTGTAACCTAAACTAACATTTTAAAACAAGTTTATTTTAACTGTCATCCAATATAATATTTTCTTAAAACCTTTAAGCAAAAACATTGTTTTACTGTTCACTTAATGATGACAAACTTTGTATGCCATCCTTTCCTATTCTTGAGCTTAACTTTTCCGCCCAGAATTAAAACCAAAAAAGGGGATGGATGGAAAAGAGATTGATGTCTTGTAAAAATGTAAATCACAGTTCACTCCATTAGTTTCAACATTTCACATGGTGAAAACAACCTACAATCAGATATTTTCCCCCCTTCCTAACTATCTTTTTTGCTCACCTTCCGTGATCATCTTCTTCTGATGATGTGATTTGAGTCCTGGCATGACAAATAGGTACACCTTTTGGGGGCTTGACGTTATTTCCTAAGTCTCATTAAAAGGTCACATCCTTGTTCTTATATGGGCTTTTGTATTTGTTCCCACATCCCACCAGTGAGGAGTTTATTTGTATGCGTGGTGTTTTGGTTTGCGGGGACTGGTCACCAGAGTCAAAACTGAACAGAGGAATGGCAAAAAGTCTCACTGTTGAACAAGTACATGTACAATGTAGGTTAATAAATTATACTATTTTGTTTCCACTGCTCTTGAAATTTCTGAGCTGAATTATGGAAATACTAGGAAACATGAGATTAACATCCTACACTACTGAGACACAGGAGGGAGAATAGTTGGTGAAATGTATTATTTTTGTAATGAAGAAAAGTTCTGTTTCTTTACCTTAAGTTCTCCATAAGTTTTATTTCCGTCAAGAGTGATTTTTTTCCTTTCCAATCTCAGTTTCAAAGAATCATCTGCATTAATGATACTTTTTTGACAAATACATGCATATACCAGGCATCTTCCTACTCTGCATCCAGCTAGTGAAAGAATGAAGTTAATGCTTACGATCTTAATGAAAGGAGTAAATAGACTCTCTTATAAGAGATTTCATTTTTCTATTCATCTGCTAACATAATTAGAAAGGAAAGTTGCTGTCACTGTCTCATATTGTAGCAGACAGTGGTGCCATCTGTAATAATACAGACTGACAGAATCGTAACTATAACTACCAATTGATACAGACACCATTTGTGGGAGTAATCACTTTTGAGGCCTGAAATTTTCCCAGGCTTGGTCTCTGCTGAGGAATTATTTATTTATTTTTAAGAGCTTACACAAAATCTGTATGGTTTCAAAGGGCTTCAAGCACTCCTGGAGTGCCATGAACTGTTTGATGTTGCAAAAGCAGCTGAGTCAATTCAGTGGTAAGAGCTAGATTATGCTATTTAATCCCAAAACCAAGCTCTCTGTGGCCAGCTAAATGGTTGACTCTTCAGCACCTGGCTAGTAGTATTTCTTGCAGATTAGTGGGCCAGAAAGCAAAGTTAGCCTTTCAGAATACTCTGTGAGCTGTGTGAACTTAAACGCTGCTAATTTTTCCAAACTCTGAGAAGTGTGTGCATGCGTGTGCTTGAGCAAATCCAAGCACAACTTGTCTGGAAAGCTCTGGTGGTGATTCAGGTGAAGAAAAAATAAATATGAAGTTCCAAGCTGAAACTTCTTTTGATGATATCACACAGGTATACTGTATACTTTATCTTGTCATGCTAACAAATGCTTTGATAATACCCACAGCTACGAATTTTAAAAGGAATTTAACAAATCAGCTACCATCTCAGTAGCATATGAACATTTCACTTTCTTGGACTCCTTTAATCTGAGCTAAACATGTAGAATAAAACATGCTGTTTGTATACATCAGCTGATGCAAGTGTTATTTGGTGCTCAAAATTTGCATTTCCTGATTTGATGATTAGCTGTGTGCATTTTTTTTCCTTTAACATTAATTTAATCCAATTTAATCCAAATGTGCTTCCTACAGGAAGACATATTGTACAAATTTTTCCCTGCAGTGACAGCCAAATGCTTTCAGTGACAGCAAATAAATGCTCTCAAGGAAAATGCTTGGGGAAGTGGGGATACAATTAGTCCTTTTAAGTCTTATTCCCTAAAATGTGTGAAATAGCAGGATTGCAACAACTTATATTTTGTATCTTCTATCTAACACAAGTTCTGCCAAGTTTTTGAAATGTTTCTCAACCTTAATCTATTTTCATCTTTCATCATTCATTATTTTTCATTAGAGTATAGTACATTCTTTAATTTGTTGACTTAGCTTACCACAAGCACTTTTGTAGTTGTTGCCTCCTGGTTGCTCATTTTCTTAATATACGACAATGAATGATTGCAATCCCAGCAATACCAAAATCATGACACTGCTTTGTATGTCACAGTTTGCGGGCCGTGTTATGTTTTTAATTTAGTCCTATTTTAATACACTGACCATAGCCTCAAAGCCTAAGGCTCTCAAGACCCCATCTGCAAGTGGTACGCTTGCACATTCTAAATCCAGTGCCACGTATACAAATTGTATAGTACTTAGTTTTCTGCATATATTGACATCAAGATGCCCAGCAGCTAGGTATTTATAGAAGAGTATTGTGTACCTCTGTCTGTACCTCAGATGGAGGTAAATGGTACCTGCCTGGTCCAAAATAAGATCTCCTGCACATGTGTGGGATATCATGTGCCAACTTATGCACAGGAAGTACAATCAGATATGTCCACTGCACAAGTGACGAAGAGTTGCTCTGCACATGTATCATTTATCTTACTCAAGACTCTCCCTCGGAACTGAGCCCTCATCCTCCAAAGTCTGCAATATAACTCTACCTCGGAGTGCTCAGCAAAATTATTTAGAAGCTCTTCGGCTGCAGTGAGGCAGGATTGGGTGCCATCGCATTCATAAACGTAGATTCACACAAGAATAAAAAATAAAAGGTGTCTCTTGGATTCTGCTCAAGTCCTTTGGGCGTACTTCAGGCACAGCAGTCTCTGTAACCAGCTGAATTCAGCATATAAAGAATCAACTTGGTTTTAGTATCAAGAGAGTAGCCCTCCGTCAACACAGAAAGCTGAAATCTCTGTTGATGGAGGAGATCTCAGAATTTAGGCTAGGACTGATTTGTTTAACACACAGAGGACAATGGCACAGAGACTACCTGAGCTATACCTCATGTTTGCACGGGCTTCATGCTTCACTAGTGCTTCAGCCAGCTATTTTTTTACGAGTACTAAGGCAATTCACTTTTATTTCTAAGGATCTGTGAAAATGCCGTAGAACCATTCGGCTTCATAAACCCTTGTAAACTAGGTGACGACTCTTTCTCTGGCTGCACCATCTCCTGCTAGGCATATATATTATTGCATTCAAATCTTAACTTCCTGTGATCTCACAGCAACCTTGTGCCAGAATTGGAGGAATAGCTTAGGAATCTACTCAACAAGTGATTTCTTCCACTGTTCCGATTACACCTCTTCACTGACTACAGTAAATTATTCATTCGTGTTATGTAAATATAACAGAGATATGCCGAGTCGCCTTTTTTCTGCCATACAACTTGCTCTTATGTTTCCTCGTGATCATCTATATAAAAAATTAAAAGCATCAAATAATATGAATGCTTCATTTTTGTCTTCATCTTACTATCAACTCCTAGCTTATCATAAATTCTCTAAACTTTGACAAGGGATACAAGATCAGAAATATTACACACTTATTTGGCAAGTCAAGGTTAACCTCAGTTGTAAGAAATACAAGCTTGATTTTTTTTTACTTCAGTAAGAAAACTCCATATTGTTTAATATGGTTTGTGTGCTTATATGCATTGCTTTTGTGCACACTATAGCTAAAGGAAATGGTTTTAAACGCCACACCACTATCCTGTCTGGTACATGCAAAGAAGAAAATTTGCCTCATATTAGATAGTGTTACAGGCTGTACAACATTCACAAAGGACTTCCTTTTTTTGCGTTTATGAGGATGAAAGAGTTTACATGAAACAGTTACTTTACAGATTCTGCTAGATATGCCACATATTTTTGTTATGCATTTTTACCAGGAGCTGATTCTTTTAAACTGTCTTCTGTCCCCTTGGACTGTATTCTGGGCCTACTGGAAAGAATTAGGAGTTAAGGCATGAATTTCCATTAAGTATTTACACAAATACACAGCAGCATTAGAAACAAGTAATGCAGAAGAGGGTTATTTCTAAAGGTTTACCTTCGTGTCTTTTACAGTTAGCTCATACTCAAATGCAAGGTTAGGTTTAGACATTTGTTTTAAATTTAATTGAGCTGGCAAAGGTAGTTAAGCTTTTGGATGCCTGAACCTTTTTTCAAGGTTTGAAATGGAGAAGCAGCAAATTACAAAACTAATTATAAACTGATTAAATTGCTCTGAGTTTTGCTGTTTGTGTCACTTAACACATCTGCAAGATGTATTAAGCACAGGAGCACTGGAGGTGGAAATAGCTGTTAAAGTAGTATAAAACCTGAATTATATACGTTTGTAAAGCTCAGGTACAAACTGATGAGCAGTATATATCCTAAATTCTAGGAAAATCCTAGTTTGTATTTACAGTGAACAACTATAATTATTTAGTATATCCTTTAGTATTTATTTGTGATAATCAGTATTATACATGTAAACATGTATGATTATGGTGAAGGACAATTCTTTCAAAGTGCTTTAAGAAGCATTATAGGAAAACCATCTAACCTGTAAATGAAATTGTCTCAACTCTGGTTGTGGAATTGTATCAGTCAAGTGCATTGTATACAGGCATTGTAGCTGTTGTATCAGAACAACTGTAATAATAAAATACCACAAATTCATGGTACGGTTTACCCAAGAGCTTCTGAATCAGCAAAGGAAAGTTCATATTCATGTATTATAGTTCTTTTTCTGAATTCATGAAGAAAAGGGTTGGTTTTATTTTGAGTGGAGATAAATATGTTGGCTATTCATTTCCTTGTTTCCTCAAATATAGATCTGCAGACTTCAACGTCATCTATCAACAGGAAAATATCAGCAGAATCTCTTTTCAAGTCAGCCTGCGATGTTTGTTTCTCCTACCAGTCAGCCACCCTGCAAAAAGCTGATTGAACTTATACAGCTGTCAGGAGGAAAAATATGTAAAGCCTTACGTCAGGCAAAAATCTGTATAGGAGGATACCCAGCAAAGAAGAACCAGGAAATAAAATACCTATCAGAAAAATGGATATTAGGTAAGAGACTAAATTTCAACCATATAAAATATTTTGGAATATGTATTCAAAAATTAACTGTAAATAGATTACTAAACTGAGCATATGGAGAGGAGAGAATGGAGCAGACTATAACAGTTGTCACATTTTTAGGAAGATTGCCCCCATGGTCAGGATTTTCTGCTAAAACTAAGATTGCTTTTTGCTGATCCTGGTACTTTCCGTTGTAATTTTACCAGAACAATTTCATCCAAAGTGTTTCAATTTATCTTTTGTATAATTGTTTCACTTAGATGTCATGTACTTCTGAGCAAACTAAATTATGGGAAAACCCCCGTGGGATAATCACTTTTAAGAAATGGCGCATGTGTTTCAGTTTTAGATATAAGTAAGAAAGATTTTTAACTGGTGTATGTTGTCATAGCGCTACTGAAATACAATGATTTGCACCCTCTGATCATGTCTTGAATTATATATTATACATTTGAAATACAATTTTCTGCAGTCACTATTTCACTTGCAAAAACTTTCTTTTTAAAATTTCCTGTTAAGTTTCTGAGAGTTGTTAGTCGACTGCTTTTTCATTATGGACAGCACAGTTCTAAAGGTTATCTCTTTGGAGGGAATCAGATGTAAAATTGCAATATCCTTTCCCTCAAAGAAAAGCTTTTGATAATCTGTTTAGGATTTACAATTTCCAGTCTGATAGTTTCCCTCTTTTTGACAAGCTAAGGTTTTTTTTTCAAAAAGGGAGAACTTTTGCAAACTAGAAAAAAATTAAGATTAAAGTTAATTTGCCTCATAAACTAGCTTCACTTTATCTTTGACACTCCTCCAGATAGTACCTCGCTCAAACTCTGGCAATAAACATATCCATGATCAGTGTTACATGAGACCAGACAAACAAGTCCTAATCTCTTAGCTGTTAGTAGTATCTGATCATAATGACCTAAAACCTGAAAGAGAATATCAGTGAAGAAGAAAGAGTGGGAGAGCCGTAAGGAAAAAATAGTTGTCTAAACACAAGTGTATTTGGTGCTTCAAAAAAGATAAAATTGTGAGGAGTTGAAAGAGACGCACAAGAAGCCATTTTTTACTGTGCCTTTCTTAGGCTTCGAAGAAGATTTGAAGAGGAAATGTATCCCAAAAAAGTGACGAGATGAGGAAACAAGGGTTTTATGTGAGACTAAAAATATGATGTAGTAAATTAAAGGAAAACATTTTTCATAGCAGTACATCAGGCGTAACTTTCAGATGGACAAATGTAATAATCTAGAATGACATGCAATTCATTCTATAATGCAGGCAATTTAATACCAGTCTCCTGCTATTATATATTTTTGGTAATAATTTTGTCTCTAGTTTATATGCAAGTGTCATTGCTTGAGACTGTGGCACATCTGACTCTTCTCCTGGTGTCATAGAGTTCTGCCTTTCTCCAGCTCCAGTTATCGCATGAGCTAAATGCAGTTGGATAGGCCAAGCTCAGCCCACCAGTGGATCGCAGGAGTCACTTGTCCCAGCACATGGAGTTTCACACATTAGGAAACGGATTCTGAATTCTTTGTGCCTTTTTCAAGTTTCTCAGTACTTGTTCTTTTGCGTCCTGATGATGCCTTTTCTAATTTATATTCTGCTCGTGAGGCATGATTATGCAAACTCCTGCTAAAGGATTGTAAATGATGAATCATGAGCAAATACCTTAGAGGAAGGATACAGATCTTTGAAGTTCTGACTCTTTCTCAGCAACTGTTGACATGTTTACTGTATGAACAGCGGCAGTCTGTCCCTACAGATTCGTGTGTTAAATAAATCAAATCAAATCTGAAATTTCGTGTCATCTTTGACCCTTCCTTGTTGTAGACCAGTTGGTTTGTGGTTATCCGCTTACAGCTCTTAATACCTACTGCCAATTAATTTAACAAAGGTTGACCACAATAAAAACAATATAAGTTGATAATTCAGCACCTTTTTTAAACTAAAGTAAATGGTCAGTATTTGCTGTACTATCATTTGACTGTTTGCATTTCTTTACAGGGTCCTCCTCTCTCTGTTCTCAGCTCCATCACACTGTTTTGTGTCAAAAATTGTTCTAAAGTACACGGCACTTTATAATCAGCTTCTTATGCATTTTAGCCTAAATAATTCTTTTTTATTTCCTTTAGATTCAATCACACAGCATACAGTATGTCCTATGGAAAACTACATTTTTCAGCCGTGACCTAACTCAGGAGCTTCTATATGGTTATAAGACAACAAGTCTAGTTTGGATTCAACAAGAAACTAAGCTGTGAATAAATTTTCTAAGAAAAAGCAAGTAACGCATTTATAAATACAGTCAGATATTTTCTACATTTTTATTATTTGTGTAGATGTCCATCTTGTGAAATCTTGAGCTTTGTATAATAAAGTGCTTCCCTAATAAAAGTCATCTTGTTTTTACTTATTTATCGGAGACCTTTAGGCCTGAGAGTTCGATTAATCATTATTCACTGAGAAGAAGTGGGAAGATATTTGCTAGTGCCTGAATGAATTTGATCATGTTGCAGTGTAGTTAGAAGATGTGCACGCAGTGTGGATGTGTGTGCCTGAGCTGGCTTTGATCTAGTTAGCAGGAGTTGTGCTACCAGTGAAGATGCATGGATGCTATAAGCCACCTTTATTCTGAGTGCCTCTGTGGACAGCCGAAGGCCCGTGTTGCCATATCTTCATGACTATTGCTAATTGAATTTTTTTAGGTAAAAGTATAAGGTTGCCCATAATGCTTAATTCACAATCCTGGAGTAACCTTGCACTTCTAAATCCAATTTTCAAAAGTAACTGAAACTCAGTAGTTGTGCTCAGATGCATAGTTATGGTATTACTTTATTTAAATACCTTTCACTGAGTCTCAGGCTGTGTCTACATCACATGTAAGCTAAAACCATAAGCAAGTGCTGATGCTGAGTCAAATGGATTAAGCAGCAAATCATTCATATGCTTACATCATCTGTTGAAAATAGAACTTATAATTAAATTCTTTAGGTACATTTGAAAATTGTATGTTGCTGTAAATGTCTTAAATGGTAAAACGCTCTTCAATCTGAGTTTTTGTTTTCAGGGGGTATAAAGTAAAGTAAGGTTTGTACGTTTGTAAAGTGTATTACGTAATACATATTAAGCTATATATATAATTATATATTATATTATGCATGTATTATACAATGTGTATTATTATTTTATATATTGAGCTATAAATACACAACCTCTCTTAAAGATTTGCAGTATCCTTCAAAATGATATATCATCACCACTGAGAATAATGTATAATCAAGTAAGTTAATGGCAGATCATAACTCTCCCCTTCTAACTCAGTGCTCCCCTCAGAGAACTGTCAGCATAAGACAATGGAAACCTTGGACTAAAAATAATAATTTCAAGTGAATACTATGGAACAGTCAAGGTACAGTACCTTATAAATGTTGTCATGCTATTGCATTATTCTAACTTCTTGGAATTTTTAAGGGCACAGGGGTTTGGACGCACAATTTCTTTAAACTTGAGGATTTTACACATTTTTTTCTTTTGAAAAGTTCAGCAGTATCTAGGCAGTAGGCTGTTTCAGGCACAAATTGCATCTTTAGAGTTGTTCTGTTAAACGTGTAGCATACTTTTTAATGCAAAAACTCCAAGTTAAAATTATTTCATGGAGAATTAGATTAACTTTATTTTCAGAAATACTGAACACCTGTAATTCAAGAGGATTTATTTATCGATAATATAGCAATAAATGCAATTAATTGAGATCTTTTGCTGCTAACTTTTCTAACATGCACATTTTCGATAGTATTTTACCTAGGAAAAATATGTTCAGATACAAAAATTGCTAATCAGGTCTGTTTATAAATTTAACTGTGTTAAATTGAAACTATTTACCTACTTACCAAAAGCGTTCGTAACATGGTACCACTCTTCACCCTTGACTTTATGAGCCTCTTTTCTTAGGAGACTGGTTGCCAAGTACTATAAACTAAAATAGAAATACTTAAATAAGCTGTGACATGTGAACATATGGTTCCCAGTAAATAGCAGAATAAATTGTTTAAATTATATTGCTTAACTTTGAATATTACGACCTCCTAGTTTATTTTGTAGTCATTTCGTAAGTGTACTACACATAAAAGTTTGTCACTATTAATTTATATAATGTAGCATTCCAAATCAGTTTCCTCCTAAATCTTCTTAAGATGAGTCTCAGCTATTTAAATTGTAACTTCTTGAATCAACTTGTTGGTCTTTATTAGACACCCATGAAATGTCTAATAGACTTCTTTTAGTAAAAATTTCAGATAAAACAATCTGTTACTTTAGAAAATTTCAGCTTAAATTGTGTGTTTTGCCAGAAACCCCTGTCTCTGTTGGCAGTTCTTGCAAAGGCTGTAGTACACAGGTAAATATAGTCGGCAGGAATGTCAATGCCTAATATTGGTTTCACATTGTTGGTAAAAGGAGTGCTGTGCATCCATGACGACAATTGTTTTATAACAGTACGTAACTAATATAGGGTGGATCGGAATTAAATCCAAAGACTAATGTTGTGCAGATAGCAAAAAAGAAATACTATTCCATCTTGAGAGTCTTTCATAACAAACAGCTTCTGATCTACATACCTTAGTGAGGATTCTCAAAAATCTCAGCACTGGAAGGAAGGCATGCTGCTACCCTCTTCTCAGGATGTCTGAGGTTCGTTTCTACCCTAGACCTCCACAGGCGAAGAAGCCGTTTCTGATCGTCCCCTCGGTAACACAGGAGGGAGAATGATGAAAACTTTACAAATGGTTCATTTGTCAGAATAAATCAATCAGCCAAAAAAGCTTACACTTGATACCAAGGTCCTAAAGACAGTAACATACAGAGGAAAAGACGCAGAGCTCCAGCAACGTGAGTAGTCATTGATTCATGGGTAGTTTCAATTTGATCAGTGTAAGATTTTTCCAGCCCACAGCACTTAACTGACGTTCTGCCACAATACAGCGCTGCTGTACACTGTCTACTGTACAAAATGGCACCATGCTGTCTTATCAGCAATCCACTCTTTTTTCCTTTTTTAATTTCCTCCTTCTCTAGTCAAGCTTTTTTGGTGAGGAGACGATGTCTTGACCTTACCTTTTGTGTCTTGTATGAACGTTTCTGTAAGTAGCTTGTGAAATGCTGTCTCTCCTTCTCAGGGAATTGCTGCACCCCTGCTAAAGGCCATACCGTAACAAAATTGCATTAAGATAGTTAAAGATTTTTTTAGGTTAGCTTAATTTTATTAAGAATACAGAAATGAAAACTAATTAGAATTAGAAATCAACACCAAAATAGTATCCTTCTTGAGATTCACATTGGCTGAGTTAATTTTTGAAAGTAGTTTAACTCACAGCACAGGTCCTTTTTTAACTCATTACGCCTATGCAGGTGATACAAGTCATATCCCTTGAGGATTCTTGGCCCATCAGTATGCTTTCCACAACTCCCTCCTTCCTCTTCCAGAGATAGAGTTTACCACACTTTTCAAAATTTAATGGGACTCGCATTGGCAAATGCAGAAATATTGAGGACAAACACAGGGATGACCTTGTGTTGCTGAGCTTGTGTCAGAATGGAAGCAAAATTGGTGCCTTGTTCAAAAAGGGTAGCTTTAAAAATAAGGTAAAATCTAAAACTATTTCTTTATAGTTACAGTGACCAATAATATGAGATTGGCTACGGATGTGTTTTAGGCAAGACTGCTGGAAACTAGTAAGGTGGGTGGATTAGGCATCTGGGTTCCCCCTCCCTTCTCTGTTTTTGCAATCAGTTTTAGATTATGACAGTATTTGTGGTGCGTGCATCTAGTGAGTAAAAAGCCTCTAATATTGACAGTGATCCTGGTATACGAGCCATCTGGTATGGATTTATTAAATACAGATTTGTTGAGCTGCTTTTATGTTCCTGTGTGCTTTCCTGACTTGTCCACGGGTAATTTTTTGGAGATAATTACTTACTAAATAAAAATAACTTGTAAAAACTGTTGCACAGCTTGGACTTCTATTTATAGTTTCATTGTGAGAAACTTCTGCATCTTAATGGATCTGTATAGAAGATAACGTAGGCATGACTGCATTGTGTGGCAAAATGTTATCAATCCATTCAGAGCTAGGAAGCTGCTAGCACTAACACGCGTTTCTTTGTGAAGCCTGTAAGCAACTTAGGATCTGTGAGGCAAAGGTGTTTTTAAATTGGTATTTCTGAACAGGAATCGTAACTGTGAGTGGAGCTGAGACACTTCTGGAGCATGGCATGGAGGTGTCCTAGGAACACTGTCTAGAAAGCTGATTAAATTCTAATCTTTTCCTCAAGAGCAACTCTCAGCCCTGGAATAAAATTGGAATATTTGCTCAGACTGAAATCTGGAAAGCATGAAAAACTCTGCATCTGTGCCAGCAGTCTGACTTACTTAATGACAGATCTAATAACAGCAAACCAAATGGCTGTTTGCCTTCTTGCATTAAGCAGAGACTTTTATTTCTGATCTCCTTTTATTGCTGTATTTCAGAATTAGCTCTTTGCATGATATGACCAAATGCGTTGATTCTTGAAGAGCGTTACCTTCACTTCTGCACAGTGCAGCAGCTTGACAATAAGGGGGTTTAAAACTGCCAGTAGTAAGTAACAACTGATATTTCAGGTTATCAGCACAGGTGTCTGGTAAGAGCTCTGCCTGGGAGTAAGCAAAGTGGAGTTTTTCTGCTGTTGATACAGATGCGAAAGAATCCTTTAACCACTAGTGAGCAGCTTGCACTCTTGCGCAGGGCTGAGGTGTTGATAGGTAGCAGCCAGGTGTAATGCAGGACTGCAAGTTGCTTTGAAATGCTGGAGCCAGCAGCCCTCGGAGAGGCCTTTGTCTGGTGATACGTGGCAGCACTCCCAGCCCCCGACACATCCACACCTTTCTCACCCAGGCTTATGCTAACCGAACCTTCCTTTGACTTCTACAATTCTGGTTGGTGTAGTTTGCGTAGTAACTTTTGTTGTCTGGAAAACACCTGAATTATCATTAGGGACGGAACCACCCCACGAAGTTTATTTCCCAAAGCGATTTATCAATGCCCAGAATGACTTTCATGTTGTTCTTGGCCAAAAAAAAAAACCAAATTCTGCAGTTGCATGTGAGGTGGGGAAAGGATTGTTCTCCAGCTACTAGAGGTTGGTATTGCAGGTCCAGACAGGTTTGGGGGTTGTTTTTTCCCTTGTTCGTGACAGACTTTATGAAACTATATAGTTATGGCTTTTCAGAGATACAGAAACTAGATCTTTATGGGAGGAGTGAGTAGAGGGAGCTGATTTTGCAATATGCTCATTGTGACATGTTCTTTTAATAGCAGACAAAGCAACTGAAGCTGAAACTTCAAAACTTTGGTAAGTAAATACTTTCTGCAGTACATGGGTCTCTTTTAAGATCCTTTTTCTTCTAATCTTGGGTTCATTAAAGGAATAAACTTTCAAATTGCAGGAGGAGGCAGCTTTTCAATTGAGAACTATGAACTCCATTAAGTATCAGATACAGCTGGATGATGTAAAAAAAAAAAAGAAAAGAGACAGCAGTCAGCATGGTCTGTTATGCTGCACACTGATAAACCATCT